TTTTGCCAATAACCCAGTGATCTCTAAGAATTGCTTTAATAGTTATCTCCAAAAACTATTTCCTAAAGATATTTCTTTCCTATGAAGTTCAATAAAAGATTTAAAAGGTAATACACTTGTTCTGATTTTCATTACACATCATGACCTCGAATCATTTTGAAAGAGAAGATGTCAGGGAATAAAGCTATTTCCTTTAATGTACTGGGGAAAAAGTATTTACTATTTTTCAATATACAGGATATAAGGGCAGAACAATATAGTAGATATAGTCAGAATGTTTGATTTATTCAGCAAATATTTATTAAGCACCTACTTTTTTCCAGGCATCATCCTAAGAGCTAAGGATATAGGGGTGAATGAGAAATAGCTACAAATTGTTTGAGTGCTTACCATGTGCCAGGCTCTGGCCTAAGAGTTTCACGCATGTAAACCCATTTAATCCTCAAATATGAAACCTCTATGACATGGGCATTATTAATTTCTTCACTTTACATGAGAAAACTGAGGCATAGAGAAGTTAAATAACTCATCCAACTAGTAACTGGCAGTAGTAGTACTGGTTATCATGGATATTTTATTAACCTAAAATCCTTCCCTTCTCATTTTCTTCTTTGCCGATGTGAAGACCTAACAAAATTGAGTATGGCTCAAATAGGTGGTGTGATCATTTCTTTTTTGGACATTTATTTATGCAAATGGGTAAACAAGATTTTAACTAGCTCTATTTTCATGCATTGTGGCCTCAAAATATTAAAAAAGCCTGAATATTATAAGACTTGATTTTTTAAAAAATAGTTAGAAAAAATTATACCTTCCTATTTTCCTCTTCGTTACTGTAGGTAAATATTCATAACATTTCTCTGTGGAAAACCACTTCTCCACTTCAGGTAGGCATGGTGGGGCTAAAAATCACAGCTCAATCTCATTGTAAGTAAGGGAGGGTTCATTGTTCAAACTAATTAGGCTGCATACCTTGGAGAGTTATTGGTAAGGACTACACAAACATAATCTAAGTAAGCATGGCCAATCTGCCTTCCCTGGGATTCACAAAAGTGGGAAATGCTCTCTTCACAATGGAAGTGAACTGAGACTGCAGGTAGCCATCTTTCTTAGCCTCAAGAGAAAATATCTCCACAATACTGAGCAATGGGAGACATTCAGACACAAAATACTTTGACCTATCTATGCGAGAAATAAGAATGTTCTTGCCTTTTTCCAATTAAATAAGGGTATAAAACTCTTTTTTACTTATGCTCGAGTTTCTGTGACTTCCAGTCAAGTTCCAATGCATTTTAACAAAAGCATTACAAAAAACATGCACATAACACAATCGTTATGGCAGGAACAGAACTCTCCTTTATTCTATTCCTTGGCCCCTCTTTCCCTATGTGAACAAATACAGAACTGTCTATAGCTCAAAGGATGGTTTATTTTATTTTCAATAGTAGGCAAAATATTTGCTTACAAATTCTGATTACAAAGCATTATTTTATTTTATTATTTTTTAAATATATATTTTATTGCTTTTTCACAGAGAGGAAGAGAGAGTTAGAAACATCGATGAGAGAGAATCATCGATCAGCTGCCTCTTGCACACCCCCTACTGGGGATGTGCCCGCAACCAAGGTACATGCCCTTGCCTAGAATCGAACCCGGGACCTTTCAGTCTGCAGGCCGTCGCTCTATCCATTGAGCCAAACCGGTCCCGGCACAAAGCATTATTTTAATACTTCTATTCTTTTAGCATATGACAAAACCACAATATAGCTAGAAAGACAAAATGTTTTATTTTAAACACTGGAAAAACATTAAAAGACAAATGTCCATTATATAACCAAGAATGTTAAGTAGTTGGAAACTGCAAATCTTCTAAAATGTGGTAGGCACTTTCAGAGAGCTAAATATTGCAAATTATCCTACCATATTTCTTTTCTAATGCCCGCAATATTTGACATGATGAAAAATTCCAAGAAGACTCAACTAACTAATTATTCAGTCAAAGTCACCATGTCAGGGTTCAATTTAAGTACACAAGTGAGTTTTGTCCAAGATGTTCCTGACACATGAAGCTTCCAGTTGAATTTCAGAAATGTTAACAAAAGTATCTTCCTTTTTTGCCTGTGAATGTTTGAGTATTGCTGTACTGTTGGCTTATATCCACTACAGATACTGGTTCTAGGCCAGCCCAAGGGTCTTCAAGCATTGAAGGTTTGAAATAACTTTCCAACTCATTAGACATTCTTTTTTCTCTACCACGCCCTGATCCAAAAGGTGTAGATGTCCTTGGAGAACCCTTTAGAAAAAAAACCATCGGTTAAAAAAACATTTCCTAGAGATAATTGGTACTTTTTACAAGGTCTTAAGGGTCACACTGCTACTTACAAGTAGTGCCTTGAAGCCAAATACTGTACATTCATTTGCAAACTCCATCTTTATTTCATCTAGTGTTTTTGTTTTTTAAATGTATTTAAACCAATTTGGTATGCTCTTTTATTAACTAGAGGTACAGTGCACAAAATTCATGAATGGGTGGGGGGGGTCCCCTCAGCCCAGCCTGCACCCTCTCCAATCTGGGACCTCTTGGGGGATGTCCAATTGCCGGTTTAGGCCCAATACCCTGGATACTGGACCGGCCTAAACCGGCAGTCGAACATCCCTCTCACAATCCTGGAACACTGTCTCCTAATTTCTCACCTGCCTGCCTGGTTGCCCTAACTGCCCCCTCCCCCATCTCCCCTGCTGGCCTAACCCCTCATTGCCTCTGCATGCCAGCCTGATTGCCCCAATTGCCCCTCCCCTGCCAGCCTGGTCATCCCTTACTGCCCCCCCCCCCCAGACTAATCATTCCCCCACCCCCACCTCCACCTGGTAACCCCCACTTGTACTCCCCCGACTGGCCTGGTCACCCCTAACTGTGCCCCCCTCTCCTCTTACTGTCCCCCCTGCTGGCCTGGTCACCCCTAACTTCTGCCCACTCTGGCCCCACACAGCCTGCTGTCCAGCCTTTTAGCCGTCCCTCACTAAGCCCCTACAGGCCTGGTCCTAGGCAGCCATCTTGTGAGGGCGTGAGCGTCAAGTTGCATATTACCTCTTTATTATATAGCATTCCATGCTCACTGTCGCCTCATCTAGAAAACTTTGGGTTTTCTAAATTTGCAGATTTTACCAATTGGTGATGAAATAAATAACTATTTCAATTTCTCTCACCCCCCCCCCCCCCGTCAAAATTCCATTTTCTGGGGGGTGGGGGTGGGGGTGGGGAATGAAAACTTTAAAACCCTACAGCTTAAACATTTCTAGAATCTTCCCATCTCATTAGCTCTAGATTTAAAAGGATGGGATTGACTTGGCATAAGGAAAGATGGAAATGCATCGGATACATGCAAGTCGTAAGCCACACATCCCGAAGTACTGTCTCCTGAGCTCCCTCTCGCCGAGAGGATCAGGGAACTTCCACCATCACCCACTCTCCCCGGAGAAAGCCTGGAGCAGGGGCCAGGGTGGCTGGAACACAAAGCCGGGGAAGGAAAGGGGGAGAAAGTGCATCGGCCTGTTACCCTCCAACCTACGCGGTCTCCGGGCTGGGAATTACAGCTCTGTGTCTGGAGACCGGGGCTCAGGCTAAATCCACCGAAACGATCCGACCAGACCTCCGACCAGGGAGGGCGAACCGGGAAACTGCCAGGCAGGAGGGCTCCGGAAAGGAAGGCTTTGCCACTCTCTCGGGCAACCTGAACACAGTTACTTAACTTCTCTGAGCCTCAGTTTCTTCGTCTGCAAAGAATAGTCTCACCCCACAGAGGATCAAACAAAATAACCCGCGTCAAGGGATGGGCTCCTGGTACACCAGGCCTGCCGGACAGGCAGAGCTCCGCACACGCTGGCTGCTGGTTGTTACCTGGGGGTGGGCCTGCTGCCCCGGGGAGTAGCCGAATTGCTGCTGGGACCCCGCGGGGGACCTGGCGTAGGCGCCGGGGTAGCGGCCGGGGGACGGAGACCCGAACCGGCCCCCGGGGAAGCCGCCGCCGCGCCGCGGGGAGGGGCTGCTCCCGTAGGGCCTGCCCCGGGGCCCGTAGGACGGCGCGCGGTGCGGGCTCCCGTACCCGTCCCGAGGGGAGGGCGGCCGCGGCCCGCCGCCGCCGCCGCCGCCCGGGGGGCCCCGGTAGCCGCTCCCGCTGCTCCAGCCTCCCGCCCCCGCGCCGGGGTACGGAGGCGTCGGCGGTCGGAAGTTCTGGCGATGCATGTCTGCTGGGGGAGGAAGACCTCACTGCCGCGGCCCCGGAACTCCGGACTGAGCGCCGGGGAGCGGGCGGTCCTTTATCAAAGCCTTCCCCCGGCGCCGGAGCGCCACGTCACATTGGTTCCGCTTCCCGAAGGTTCCGCCAGGGGCGGGGGAAACAAGCGGATCATTATTATTATTATTTTTTTTATTTTTATTGATTTCAGAGAGAAAGGGAGAGGGAGAGAGAGAAACATTAATGATGAGAGCATCATCGATCGGTTGCCTCCTGCACGCCCCCCACTGGGGACCGAGCCCGCAACCCTCCTGGTTCAGAGGTCGACGCTCAACCACCGAGCCACGCTGGGCGGGTTATTGAATCGGATAAAGAATGAGCGGATTAATGAAGGAAGGAGGGAGAGGAGGATAAAAGAAAGGCTCGGGCCAAAACCGGTTTGGCTCAGTGGATAGAGCATAAGCGCCTGCGGACTGGAGGGTACCAGGTTCGATTCCCATCAAGGCCATGTACCTTGGTTGCGGGCACATCCCCGATTGGGAGGGGTGTGCAGGAGGCGGCTGATCGATGACTCTCATCGACGTTTCTAGCTCTCTCTCCCTCTCTCCCTCTCTGTGAAAAATCAGTTAAAAAATATCTTTGGAAAGAAAGAAAGAGAGAGAGGGAGGGAGGGAGGGAGGGAGGGAGGGAGGGAGGGAGGGAGAGAGAGAGAGAGAGAGAGAGAGAGAGAGAGAGAGAGAGAGAGAGAGAGAGAGAGAGAGAGAGAGAGAGAGAGAGAGAGAAAGAAAGAAAAGGAAGGCTCGGGGGCCGCCTTGACGGCCTGGCGGAGCCGGGTTAGACACCTGCCCAGCCAGCGGCGGGCCGGAGAGCTCCGCCCAGCCCAGCCCCGGAGGCGGCCCCGGGCGGCGGCCCCCGCGGCGGCGCGGCGCCGGGCTCCCTCCCGCCGGACGGCGCCGGAGGCCGGGATGCTGGCGGCGCTGGCGGCGCGGGCGCGGGCGGCCGCCCTGCGGGGCAGGAGGCCCGGCCGTGCGCGCGGCCCGGGCGGCGGCAGGCGGCTGGGGACCGGGCCCCCGCCCGCAGGTACCTCCGGGGCTCGGTCCGGGCGGCGCGGCGAGCCTCGCGAGCCCCGGCCGCCACCGGGAGCTCCCGCTGCGGTCCGCCCCGCGCGTCCGAGGGCGGGAGTCTCCCTCCGGTGACCCCGAGGCCGGTGTTTCCCGAAGTGGGGTCCGCGGACCCCCAGGGGTGCGGGAGGGTTTGGAGGGGGTACGGTGGCACCGGAGCTTGGTGGGGATTGGCGCTGCGCCGTGCTTAGCCGCGCCTAATGCTGCGTCCTCGTTTCAGCGTTAGGGAAATGATAGAAGGGGTACACATATGTCAGAAGTCTGGGAAACACTGCGGGCGGGACCAGATCGTCCCGCTTTGGGCGGGACAGTCCTGATGTGGAACCATATTCCCCCCCGCCGCGTCCCACGGCGTTTTAAAAAAGTCCCAGTTTTTGGTTCAAATTTTTTGAACCACATCAGGACTATTCTTTCCAAAAATCGGGACTTTTTTTTTTTTTTTAAACGTCGTGGGACTCGGGGGAACATGGTTACACATCAGGACTGTCCCGCCAAAAGCGGGACGATCTGGTCACCTTACTCTACCCGCTTCTTCCTTTAAATAACTTAAAAGTATGGGAGTGGGGGGTGAGGGGGTGGGGATTGGTAAGGTATGTACACATATAATACCTTAATAAAACAATGAGGGGGAAAATAATTTAAAAATAACTTAAAAAATGTGCACCCCTATTTCAGAAGGGGGTGCAAAGTGCATCTTTGGCTCGGAGAGTCTCTGCAAACAAATGCTGGACTTTACTCTCTCTTTGGGCCGAGCAGGCTGGGCAGGTGGCTAGGAAGCGAGCGGGAAAGGCTGATTTTTCAAAGAACAAAATTTGGCCAAACGCTCTTCAAAATCTTAGTTTTGTTTCACAGACTTTTAGTTACAAAGAAAAATGTGATACATTCAAGAACGACACCTAATGTATAATAAAATCCGCCTTTGTGTATCAGACAGCTGTCCCTGAATTTGCTTAGAATTCTACATTTAAATTTACTGCAGTTTTGTAGAGCTTTCTTGACGCCTTCAGAACGAGGGGTTTCTAGGCACAGAACCTTGGAATCAGCTTGTAGGAAACAGTCTTAAGTGTTGGCGATGGGACTGTCACCAGGTGTTGGACTCCTGGGGTGGACTGGACCTGGGTTCAGCAACCTGGGCCCTTGAGCTCTGGCTAAGAAAGAATTCAGAGACGAGACTCAAGATGCAAACTATAAGAGAACATTAATTTACAAAATCTCAGAGATGGAAGAATTCCTAGAAGAAATATGCTTCAGTTATAGAGGCAAAGAAAGAGCCCTTGGAGCTTAGAAGTAAGGAAGGTGCCGAAACCGGTTTGGCTCAGTGGATAGAGCATCAGCCTGCGTACTGAAGGGTCCCAGGCTCGATTCCGGTCAAGGGCATGTACCTTGGTTGCAGGCATATCCCCAGTAGGGGGTGTGCAAGAGGCGGCTGATCGGTGTTTCTCTCTCATTGATGTTTCTGGCTCTTTATCCGTCTCTCTTCCTCTGTAAAAAGTCGATAGAATATATTAAAAAAAAAAAAAAAGAAGTAAGGAAGGTACATTTACGCAATGGTATACTACTCTGCTGTAAAAAGGAAGAAAATTTCTCCTTTTGGGACAGTGTGGATGGACCTGGAGAACATTATGCTAAGTGAAATAAGCCAGTGAGAGAAAGACAAGTACCATATGAATTCACTGATGTGAACTAACAAGCAAAATACTAGTGGAGAAATTTCATAGATATAGAGAGCAGGCAGACAGCGCTGGAGCAGGGGTGGGAGAAAAGGGAGGGTGGTGGTGGTGGGGGATGGTGGTGGGAAGAGAAGGGGGATTGAACAAAAAAGAAAAGAGAGAAAGTACTAATGGACACGGGCAACAATGTGGTGATTGTGGAGGGGTAGAGGCATAGGGGGATAAATGGTAGAAAAAATAAAATAAAGAAATTGTTTTGCCTTGGGTTAATTGCATTCAATTAAGGAACTATTTATAGAGTACTTAGTATGTATAAAGCTTAGTGATTCTCACTGCGAAAGTACGAAATGGATAGGAGATGAGTACTGTTGATAAATAACAACCCAAAGCTGAATAAAGCGAATGTCGTAAGAACAACAGCAATATCTGTGGGTTCAGGTCACAGAAATAATACCCAGTTAGGAAGTAAGAAAGAAATTCATTGAGAACTGGCAATTTAATGGAGACTTGACGACGCATGGGTAGGATTTTAGCAAATGTTTGTCTTAAATATAGAACAAATAAGCAGAAGTCTTTATTGTTATTTTTTTTAGTACTTACTTTTTCTTGTTTAGTTTACTTTTTATTTTATTTAAAAATATATTTTTATTGACTTCAGAGAGGAAACGAGAGGGAGAGAGAGATAGAAACACCAATGATGAGAGAGAATCGTTGATCAGCTGCTTCCCCCACGGGACTGAGCCTGCAACCTGGGCATGTGCCCTTGATCGGAATCCAACCCAGGACCTGTCAGTCTGCAGGCTGATGCTCTGTCCACTGAGCCAAACCTGTTTAGTTTACTTAAAAAAAAAAAAAAAAAAAAAAATATATAATTGATTTTTTACAGAGAAAAAGGGAGAGGGATAGAAAGCTAGCAACATCGATGAGAGAGAAACATCATCAGCTGCTTCCGGCATACCTCCCACTGGGGATGTGTTCCCAACCAAGGCACATGCCCTTGACTGGAATCGAACCTGGGACCTTTCAATCCGCAGACCGACACTCTATCCACTGAGCCAAACCAGTTTCAGCTAGTTTACTTTTTATTTGTTTTTTAAAGGCTGTATATTTTTAGAGCAGTTTCAGGTTCACAGTAAAACTGAGAGGAAGTTACAGAGATTTCCCATATATTTCCTCCCCCCCCCCTCCCCCCACACCCACAGCCTCCCCCAGGGGATGCTTTTGTTATGATTGATGAGCTGGCATTGACCCATCATAATCACCCAAAGTCCATACTTTATGTTAGGGTTCACTCTTGGTGATGTACATTCTTCAGGTTTGGAAAAATGTACAGTGACATATCTAACATTATAGCATCATATCAGAGTATAGTCAGTGCCCTAAAATTCCTCTGGGCTCAGCTTATACATCTCTCCCCTTCTTACTTTTTATTTTTCAGTAGTCAAACTATTGCAAGTGTAGCTGGTGACTTAATTAATTGGGAATTATCTGGGATTGGAGGTTTTAATTTTAACAAATTGACTTAATTGATCAGGTCAAGATTTCTGTGTTACATATAAAGCAGGAATAGTGTAAAAGAAACACATTTTTTTTTAACTTTTATTTTGGTAGAGATTGCTTAATCCACAGTATAAAGAATTCTTGATTCTTTCTCCTGAAAATTAATAATCAATACTCTTAAAGTGTTTTCTGTGTTTTGGCAGCTACTGACAATGTGAAGCCATTGGAGGGTATAAAAGTTCTGGATCTAACAAGGTTGGTATTGGCCTGCCTGTTTTTTGGTGATTAAGTTTTAACCTCTCAAAAACCATTCATTCATTTTTTATATTAAAAGAGGGTGCTTATATGCTTAGTATCAAAATTTTGAAAAGAAAAAAGTTCCTGTAATTTTATCATTCTAAATGACAATTAGTGTAATACTTATGCATTTCTTTCCAATCTGCATACTTAAATATATTTTTTAAAAACAAAAATTTGAATCATATTGAAATGATAGTTTTACCCATATTTTAAATATGCCATTTAAAAAATATTTTTCTCTATTGATTTCAGAGAGGAAGGGAAAGGGATAGAGAGATAGAAACATTAATGATGAGAGAGAATCACTAATCAGCTGCCTCCTGCACGCCCCCTACTGGGGATCAAGCCTACAGCTGGGCATGTGCCCTTGGCCAGAATTGAACCTGGGACTCTTCAGTCTGCAGGCTGACACTCTGTGCACTGAGCCAAACCGGTGAGGGCAATGTGTCATATTTTTAATGTTTTCCTATGTCATTCAAAATTCAATAAAAATATACAATATTTTATAGCTGTCATAAATTTAATCATCCCCCAATATTTCACTATTATAAGTTTGGTTTCCTATTATATAAGTCTTTGTCTCAGTAATCTTTTAATTTCTTCCTTAGGATAGAATTCTGGAAGTCGAATTACTGCATCTTAGGGAATATACTTTTAAAACTCTTGATACATATGGCCAAATTAAATTTTGAATAGTTTGGTCAATTTTAATTCTTACTATCATTATATAAGCTTGTCTGTGTTGATGGACTATTAAGGAAATTAATATAAAAATCTTCAAGATGGTAATTTATTTATCATTGTTTAACATTGTAGAGTATTGGCAGGACCTTTTGCTACGATGAATTTAGCAGATCTTGGAGCAGAAGTTATAAAAGTGGAAAGACCAGGTAAAATTATTGCTTCCTTTAAAACATAAAAGCAAATGACTAAGTATTTTTAATAGTTTAAAAAATGCCCATGTACCTGCCTATGGGATGAAGAAAGAATGAAATAATTTTTCTTTTTTCCATTCCTTATTTCCTTCTGGACCTAGAATAATAATCTCTTTTTATTATTTTGAAAGATATTTTTATTGATTTCAGAGAGGAGGGGAGAGGGAGAGAGAGACAGAAACATCAGTGATGAGAGAGAATCATTGGTTGGCTGCCTGTGGCACACCCCACACTGGGGACTAAGCCCGCAACCCCGGGCATATGTCTTGGGAATTGGACTGTGACCTCCTAGCTCATAGGTCAGCACTCAACCACGGAACCACGCTGGCCAGGTTCCACAGATTAAGGATTAAGCCAGGTCTTTCACACACATGTGAAAGCCTCTGGTAGAAACTGAGATGCAACATGTAATGATGCCAACAACACTTATCAGAGTGCCAAGCACATTTATAAGCACTTTGCCTGTATTAACTTATTTAATCTTTCCATTACCCTTATGGGCTGATGTTATTATTCCTAGATTATGAATGAGAAGACAGAGTCACAGAGAGATAAAGCAATTGGTCCAAGGTCACACAGCCACGCAGGAATATCCAGGCACTCAGGTCTGCTTCTGGCTTTGCTTAGGCCCGCATAAGCCTTCCTGTTGAGACTGAGATTGGACTGAGCCTGGCCACCCTCCCTTCTGTGGGATGAAAACAAAGTCCTGGAAAAAAGAAACCCCAATACTCTAAGTCATCTTTTGCAGACTCATCATTTTCTTTGCATATTTAACGCCAAGAAACAAAGACTGAATTGTTTGCCAAAAACTGAGTGTAATTTCCCCCTCCCACTCAAATTTGCCATTTATTAAATGTAAAGACTGCTGGTAGGATATTTCCTTCTGGGTTTTGATTTTCAGGGATGGATTTTAGTGAAAAAATAAAGGAAAAATTTAGTGATTAACATCGACAGGTAAAGAGTTTGGACAGTTCTAATCCCACTTAACAGAACTGCTTTGTTCAGCCAGCCATCTGTGAATGCTGATGAGTGAGACTTTGGTCTGAAATGTCTCATGATGTTCCACAGTTATAGATGAATAACTCATACTGTTATTTTCAGGAGCTGGTGATGATACACGAACTTGGGGGCCGCCTTTTGTGGGGACAGAAAGTACTTATTTTCTCAGTGTAAATCGAAATAAAAAAGTAAGAATATAATTTTTTCTGCTTTCTTTGTGTAATTCTCTTATAAAAACAAAACTTATGATATCCCAGTTTGTTTGTTTTTACCCTTTTCTGTAGATGTAATTAATATTTTAAATAAGGTGAAATTTTATTCATTCGACAGTTACAAATAGAGACAATAGATATTTTTACTAATCCTCCCTACTAACTTAAAATGAGAATTTATACTGGTTTACAATGGAAAGAATTTTATTAAACTTATTAAATGGTTTTTTACATTTGTTATTATTTTGGAGACTGATAACTGCCTAAAAGTGGGTATTATTATCTGAAGCATTTTTACTGTAATCCTTGCTACATTCTAACATATCTAAATTGCAAATAATATAAGTAAAGATGATTTAAATATTTCTTCAAGAGGAAAATACATTTGCTTTAAGAGGAGAATCTAAGGTATGATCTGCTCCCTTGTTGAACTTTAGTGTTAAAAGATTTTATGATACCATTTTAATATATATATATATTTTAATTTTTAGAGTATAGCTGTTAATATCAAGGATCCAAAAGGAGTGAAAATCATCAAAGAGGTACAGTATGCTCGGTGAAAGGCATCTTACCACCGGGGTTGTAACAGAGTAAAAGTGTTTTAAAACTTTTAACTTGACAATCTGTAATTTTTTTGTACATGCCATTTGAGAATTTAACTTGTATAATAAGTATAATTTGATTTATAATTTCTTTTATATTGTGTCTCATGTTTCTTCACACTGGGAAGGCATTCCATTGTAGTACTAGCTGCTACTGACTGAGTGCCTACTCTGTATTAGATCTTAGGCTCGGGCACTTGACTTACATTATCTCCTCAAATCCTCAGAATACATGAGATATTCGAGACTTCATTTTCACAGGTGTGAAATGCATCTAATGGGGCTTAAGTGATGCTCTGAACATCACATAGCTAGTAAAAGGAAGAGCTGAAATTTTGAACCCTGGGTCACGCTACTGGAGAGCCAAAACTTTTTGTCATTGTTAGTCCTCGCTAGAGGATATTTTTTCCATTGATTTTGAGAGAGAGTGGAAGGCCCTTCATTCTCAGGCCCTTCATATCTTTGTAGTTTACTATTATTATTAATCTTAAGGGATTGTTCTTTCCTTAATTCTTCTCTTTCTGCTCTATCTTTCTTAGTTTCATCTTTATTTCAGGATATCCTGATACTTTAGTCAAGGATTCAGATTTGATTGAACAGATACAGCACCATTTCAGTAGGGCTTCTCAATGGGGAAATGTTGGGTGGAATTCATAACTCTTACTGCTAAGACATTTGAACATTTTAGGCCAACAATGTATCCGTCTGACCAAAATAAATGAATTGCTGGGACTTCCTTTTCACTCTCCTCGGGTTTTACCAGTGTGCACCACACTATAGCAATTTTAAATTACATATCCTTGTGGGCTTGATTTCTCTGATTGATAATAATAAACTATATTTCAGCTCATAATAAACTTTGGTTGTCTAGAGACAATATTTATACTTATGGGTTTTAGCTAGTTATATCACTTATAAGTTATGCATGTTATGGCCTAGAGCAGTGTTTCCCAAAGTGTGGTACTCGTACCCCCAGGGGTATGGGAAGAGATTGGTGCAGGTACGCATTGCACTAGAGTTTGGTGGGGATATACACTGCACTGTGCTTAGCTGCGCCTAATAGATCCATTTTTTTTTTTTGACGAAGGGTATTCAGCGTTATGAAAATTATAGAAGGGGTACACATATGTCAAAAGTTTGGGAAACACTGGCCTAGAGAAAAAATTATTTTTGCCTAGCTTTTTAAATATTCTTTAGGGCACGGATTTCTTTTTTGATCTTAAGAATAGTAAAATAACACCTGTACTCAGACCTTGGTGGCTATTATTGCAATTATAATGAGTCTAATTTATAGACACGGTTCCAAAGTATTATACCAAGCCATCAGTTGGATATGTGAGAGCCCCCCAAATATGACTCCTTTGTCAAGTAGGTTAACCAAAAACAGGTTGTATGGAAAACAAAAGTCTGCTTAAAAAACCTATGTGGAGCCTGGTATAATATTTTCATGGCAATATGATATGATAGCTTTCTAACACGTTATCTATATTTCAGATACTTTTCCATGTTAACTATAATAGTTGACAGTCACACTATCCATACTGGTTCCACAGAACAATGTCATAGGTTTTATTTTCCTCCAACATTGTACTGTGAAAAATTAAAACATAACAAAAACATTTAAAGATGTAACAATTTTAATGTTTTGCCGTATTTGCTTATTTACATATATATTCATATAACTATGCATATGTTTATGTGTGTATTTTTGAACCATTTGAAAGTAAGTGAAAGAAACTTTGTCCTGAAATCCTTCAGAATACATCTCCTACAGATAAGGATATTCTTTGACATAGGATTTAAAAATTATTTCATGATTTTTAAAACTTATAAATATTGTTACATTATATCATCACTTTCCCCTCTACTTCTGATGTTGCTCATCCATTCTGTTCCTAAGTTGCACCACATAAAGAGAACTCAGAATTTGGTATGCTATATTTCAACGTGATTTTAGTTCTTGTTTTACTCTGTGACTGGTAGGAAGAATTAATTTTTCCCTTTCAGAAAGAAAGAGATGGTGGGTTCTCTAATTCATGAAAATTGTGCTTGTTTTTTATTCTGGGTGACTTTCTAGAAGAGGTTATTAGGTAATTTGTGAGCAACTCGATGAGACAGAGGTGATCACCAGTAAAACTGGGAACCAGTCTTTTTTTTTTTTTTCTTTTCTTACTTTACTTTCTAGTAGATTATTAAGTCTGAGAATCCAGTAAACAAATTTCATCTCCACTGGAGCAGTTAACTTGTGTAATACTTGGAGATAGTGTGGAGATCAGTGTAACTCAGAAGTTTTCTGATGGCTCTGATTTTAGCACGGTTCTGTTTAGAATTTTTATGAATGACTTTGCTAAAGCTATAGGGAACATACATGATATTGAAATGGGTGAATATCCTGAAACAAGAGAGGGAGAGATAATATTTTGGATGACACATTCACTAAGAATATCTTTCTAGTAAGTAGCTAGTTTTTATTTATTTAAAATAATTATTTATAAAATGGAGAAAAGGATAATTTCTGCCCTATATCCTTTTCCAGGTACATTTTATCAATAAATATAAAATGTGTATATATATATATATATATATATATATATATATATATATATATATGGTTCTTGAGTATCATAAAAAAACTACTGGAGAAGTTTGTTTTTAGCTCTTAAACTCAACTTTTGCATACTTTTTCTCCTTATCAGGGGAAATCTTTAGCTCTTAAATTCAACTTTTGCATAATTTTTTTTTATCACATTGTACTCTCATACTGCATGTTACTCTGAGTACATTTTTAGTTAAAAATTGTTTTTTTTATTATATAAGTAATAACTGTTCATGGACAAAAAGATTAATATTTTAGCATATCATATCAAATCTCTTTATATCCTTGCATACCATTTTTCTCCCCAAAACATGAGATAATACCATGTACATTGTTGTTGTTTTTAATCTGATTTTATGGTTAATAAAATATTTAGAGTAATTTTCTACTAGTAGAAGTTATTCATTATATTTATATTTGTGTTTTGTTGAAACAGTGAATTTGTGCTCCATCTGGATACTTTATATGGATAGAGTTGTGATTTAGGATTCCATAGAAGTTTAAAAATACAAATACCCTGCATTGTTAAAAAAAATTTGTTTTTATTGTGGTAAAATATATATAATAAGAATTTCCATTTTAATAATTTTCACGTTTACAACCCAGTGGCATTAATTACATTTAGTGTACAACCATCAGTCTGTTTTTAAAATATTTCATCACCCCGGGCAGTAACTCTGTCTACATTAAGTGATAAATTCTCCACTTCCCTTTCTACCCAGTCCCTAATAATCTCTTGTCTATTTTTTGCTCTGATTTTTCCTATTCTGGATACTTCATGTAAGTGAAATCATATAATATTTGTACTTTTATGTCTGGTTAACTCACTTAGCATAATACTTTCAAGGTTCATTCATGCTGTAGCATGTAACAAAACTTTTAATAGCTAATAATATTCCACTTTAGAGATATATTGGTCTTTTGTTGGAGAGGAGTTGTTGCCACCTTTTGGATATTGTGAATAATGCTGCTATGAATATTTGCAAACAAATATTGGTTTGAGTCCCTGTTGTCAATTCTTTTGGGTATATGCCTATGAGTGGCATTGCTGGGTCATATGGTAATTCTATATTTAATTTTTTGAGGAACTTACATGAGTTTTTTAAAAATAAGAAATAATTTATTAGGTGTAATTTGCATTAAGATACTATTTTATGCACCATGCAGAAATATGACCCATGTAAAGCCTAGATGTATTTAATATACAAATAGTTTGTTTTTTAGTGCCTGCATGAGTGCCTTGTAAGTTATAAATAGAGGTTCAGAGAAATATTGTGGAATAAATTGATGTGTAACTGTAGATTTGTGTTGCAAATGTCGAGGTAGATGATAACAAAAATATACTATTTTCCCCCCCAAAGTATTGCTTTGTAAAAAAGCAATATTAAATGAACCATTTTTTAAACTATTAAACTGGGCGGAAAAAAAACACACTATTAAACTGTAACCCGGTGTATCAATAACTATCTGAAACAGCCCAGCCAGTATGGCTGATGATTGAGCATTGATTCATGAACTGAGGTCGCGGCTCAATTCCCAGCAGGACACATGCTCAGGTGTGTCCTGTGGGCTTGATTTTTGTTTTTTAGGGGAGTATTTAATACTAACCTCTGCCATCCCTCCAAATCCCCAAGCAATACTTTGTGGAAAATGAACAATAAATCAATGTATTTTTATTGGGATTCTCCCTGGAGCATGCTGCATGGAGTTGCCCCCAGCATAAACAGGTCACATGGTCATCAGCACCTAACATTTGGAAAAGGTGCCAGTGCTTGAAACTCGGGGTGCACCCTTAAACCTTCCTGCCTTGATGTATTTATCATTCCTCTCCAGTGGGTGGTCACCGAGGCTTCTGGTGCGTCTGTGTCGGGAGCTCTGGAGGACGACAGCTTATTTCCTTGAAAAGTGTCCCAAGATCTCCCTTCCTATAAATTTGGTTGTCAGGCATTTCCATATGCACAGCCCAAATTTGGTGATACAGTAATATTCAGACATTCAAATTTTAATAATAGTATAGTTTTATTGATTTCAGAGAGAAAGGGAGAGATAGAAACATCAATGAATAGAGAGAATCATTGATGTGTTGCCTCCTGCATGCCCCAGCCTGGGGATCAAGCCCACAACCTGAGCATGTGTCCTGCTGGGAATTGAGCCGCGACCTCCTGGTTCGTGAATCAGTGCTCAACCATCAGCCATACTGGCTGGGGTGTTTCAGATAGTTATTGATACACCGGGTTATAGTTTAATAGTGCCCCCCCTCCCCCCAGTTTAATAGTTTAAAAAATGGTTCATTTAATATTTTGAACACACTGGAAAGAAAGCACCTGTAAAGTTTGAGAGCATGTAAGAGTCAAGTTTGCATGTGCCTCTATGTGCATGTTGTAATGAGGAATATCACATAATAAGGATGGAGAAGGAGTAAAGACATTATATTTAGGTTTTTTTTTTAAGGGTTTAAAAGATGTTTTCCATATATTTTCTTTACTTATATTCTAATTTTTCTACCTCGATATCTGACAATATATTTGCACGATGCAGCCTAGATATTTTTTACATTTAACACACAAGCAGAATCCGTTTAATACTATGGTATTTACTGACATCTTTAATAGCCATTGTTTTACTGGCAGTAACACCTCAAGTAGTTGACCAGAGCCTCTATGTTGATCTAATTCTACTTTGTAATTCTACGTTTCCTGTGCTTTTTTAAAAAATTATTTATTTATTTTTTTATTTTTATGGACTATTACAACAATGAGGGTCAATTTTGCTTACTGAAATTAGAATTCTATAATGTGAAGATTTGTTAAATGTTTAATAGCCATTTAAGAAATCTGATTGATCTTCCCCTCTTCCTTCAGCTCGCAGCTGTGTGTGATGTGTTTGTGGAGAACTATGTCCCGGGCAAACTGTCTGCAATGGGCCTGGGATACGAAGAGATAGACAAAATCGCTCCTCACATCGTCTATTGCTCCATCACAGGTATCTCAATACCACACGCTCGCCAGCGAATAGGTTTTCCAGTTTCTGCAAGAAACCTCTTACTGTTAGTTTTTTTGATGCGATTCTGCTCTTCTTCCCCTCCTAAGACATTTTAGGTTCCTGAAAATTTCAATAACCTTTAAAAACATTAACTTACATGAAAAAATTTTTCATGTATTTATTGGCAATTTAAATTTCTGTGAATTGTCTGTCTAATTTTTGCTATTTTTTTTATTTTGCAGACATTTTCTAAGTACTGTTAACTCATATAGAATTACAGTTGAAATGTTAATAGCCTTTAAGATAATATAAGAATGCAACATATCTCTTAATATATTGATATTCAAAAGTGCTAAGCCAAAGAAAAGGGTGCTATAAAGTCTTTCAGTTTTTTCAGCCTTTGTAGTGACGTGTGTGTGTGTGTGTGTGTGTGTGTGTGTGTGTGTATGTATGTATGAATGTGTGTGAATTTAGTCAAAGGAGAAAACAGTCATCATATTTGTTAGTTTTACATATTTAATAAACATAATAACACATTTTTTTGGTTTCATTATTTTATGATTGAGTAACATTCCATTATTTTATGTACTACATCTTCTTTATCTAATTGTCTATTATGGGCACTTAGACTGTTTCAATATCTTGGCTGTTGTAAATAATGCTTTAATGAACATAGAATTGCATATAACTTTTTGAATTAGTGTTTTGGAATTATTTTGATAAGTACTCAGAGATGTAATTGTTAGGGCATCTGATATAAGTATTGCTACCCTAGCTTTTTATTCTTTTTCATTTGCATGAAACATCTTTTTTTCATTACTTTTAATATGTGTGTCTTTTAATCAGAATTGGGTCTTTTTTAGACAGTGTATGTATGGATCTTGTTTTCTTATCCATTTAGCTATTCTATGTCTTTTATTGGAGCATTTAATACACATACTTTTAAAGTGATTATTGATAGGTACATAGTTATTGTCTTTTTGTGATATTTATCCCCCTCCTCTTCTTCTAAAAGAAGTCCCTTTAACATTTCTTGTAATACTGGTTTGGTGATGATGAACTACTTTAGCTTTTTCTTATCTATATATTAATATGAGATCAGGATTAAAAAATGTTTTTATTGATTTTAGAGTGAGACGAAGGGAGAGGGAAGAGAGAAACATTGATGTGAGAGAGAAACATCGATTGGCTGCCTCCAGCACATTCTGTACTGGGGATCAAGTCTATAACCCTGGCATTGGCCCTAACCAGGAATCCAACCAGTGACCTTTAGGCTCGTAGGATGAAGCACAACCAACTGAGCCACTTGACTGGGCAGATTTTTTTTCTTAAAATATTGCAGTCCAGTGGAAATGTTGAGATCTAAAATATTAAAATAGATAAAATATTATCTTTTGAATTGCCCCATTACCATAAATATATTGCATATGTGAAAAATGTAAAATCTTATCCTATCTAATAAAGAGGAAATATGCTAATTGGCCATCAAACCCTCACAAAGATGGTGGCACCCACAGCCAATAAGGAGGAAATATGCTAATTGCTGCCATGCTCTCAAAGATGGTGGCACCCACAGCCACAAGATGGAGGCACTCAGTCTTTTCAGCTTTGCTGGGGTGCCTACCTCTGGAGTCCCCCAGTCCCCTCAGGCCCCAAGCCACCCAGGGCCAGCCTGAGGTGCAAGCAAGCCTTGGATGGTGGTTTCCCAGCTGCCAAGGGCCACCCGAGGCTCAGATAACCAGGGCCGGCGGAAGCTTGCGCTGCCAGCAGTGGCAGCAGCAGAGGTGTGATGGGGGCATTGCCTTCCCCTGATCGCCAGATCACCTCCTACCCCTGAGGATTCCCAGACTGTGAGAGGGGGCAGGCCGGGCTGAGGGACCGCCCTCCAGTGCATGAATTTTCATGTACCGGGCCTCTAGTATGACAATAATAATTTATTTCTCATTCTCATGAATGTGGGCCAACTGGAATTCAGCTGGTAAACTGATTTGAGTTGGCTTCACATTGTAGTTTGGGGCCTGGTTTGCTCTCCATGCCTCTTATACTCCTTGGACCAGTGGCTACCAAATGCATGTTCTATTCCTAGTGAAAGGCAGGAGTGCAAGGAGAACAAGCCTAATCTCACAAGCAAGAGTATAGCCTCTCCTCATACCATCTGCTAAGGTTCCTTTGGTCATGGAAAATCACATGACCAAGCCCAACATCAATGGCAGGGACTACAAAGCCACATGACAAGGGGGTGGATTCTGAAGAGGTGAAGACTGGGGGTGACAATGCATTTTATCACAGCGCCTAGCCCCGTGGTCAGCAAACTGTGGCTCGTGAGCCACATGCGGCTATTTGACCCCTTGGATGTGGCTCTTCCACAAAATACCATGGCCTGGGCGAGTCTAATTTGAAGAAGTGGCATTAGAAGAAGTTTACGTTTAAAAAAATTTGGCTCTGAAAAGAAATTTCAGTCATTGTACTGTTGGTATTTGGTTCTGTTGACTAATGAGTTTGCTGACCACTGGCCTAGCCAAATAAAATGCTAATCTATTTGGGAAGCCTCACACTTGTCAAAATTCTACATCTATAACTAACTGTGGTTAGAGTCAGAAGTTCCTCTGGGCCACGACTTATGCCTGGAGAATCTCTAAGTTTTCTTACCATTCTCAGATCCTGTGTTAACATTTTAGTGCGGCAAAGGGCCTTGGATATAGATAATATAATTCAGGAGTTTTCAGCTTAGATGAAACTGGGGGTATCATATGTTTTTAAGTAATAGGAATGGGGTACTAAGGAGGTGATGGGGAGAAGGCATGCGTAGACTGAAAAAATACCTCATAATTCTGTAATTCCCTACATGCACATCTAACAGTCATTAGAAGAACACCCATATGGTACTGTCTCCTTTATTTCCTGATAAAGAAACAGATCCAGAGCAGCTAAGGTACCTGAGTTCACACAGCTCTTTAATGGCAGATGGGTTTAAAATGCAGGCTTCTTGACTAATTTAAGTGTCTCTATGCTTTTCATAGTTAGGCATATATATCATTGTTAAGTGATGACATGGGTTTTGTGATTACAAGACACTGAACAGCTGTAGTTGAGAATGATATATTTTTGCTATTCTCTTTCATTGGTCGTAAGTCATATTTGTGATGGAAGAAATCATGAAAAAATGTGCTCATCGGGGAGTCTACATTTCAACAGAATCTTTTAGAACCGAAGGTCATTTATGAGTCATGAGTTTGTGTGTGTATATAAAGCAAGGGCCATCTCTCTTTTAAAAGTTAGATACGCTTGGTAATCAGTGTTTGTTTTTTATTTTTTAGCAAGACTGATTAGATCAGTCTCAAGTTGCACATGTTATGATTGAGATCCTAGACTTTCCTGATGTATCCCAGTGGTATTGCTGTCTCGTCAGTGCTGTGCAAGCTCAAACAGTCTGTTCTCACTCCCATGTTGGCCTTAGTGCTTATGTGAGCAATCCTATTGATAGAATGAATGGGAGGTTTACACTAATGCATCCTGACTGTTGTGTGGTTGAGATCGCCGCAGGCTGTGAAATCCGGTCTGCAGGACAGAAATGCTAGACTGATCACAAGAGAGGAAGGACCCGATTATTTTTACTAGCATGATCCTTCTGTCATTTCAGAGGAAGCCGAGTATGGACATTAGGGGGCAGTGTTTAAAAAGTTATAATCCACTAGGAATTTCATTTTGAGAGACCTTTATGATTTTCTTCATGCCTCTGGATAGAGAGAATATCCAAAAGGACCTATTTATACTTTTTTTAAAAGCCACCATTCTGTACCTCTCTATACTTTTAGAATTCTATCGGTATTTTCCTTAACAATTTAAAGTTGTACCTTCTTTCCTTTGTATACTCTGAGCATGTTATTAGTTATAAAAATTCATCAGTATGAATTTCGTATACCACATTTAAAATATTTCCTTTCTTCTCATTTACTTCATTATTCTTTCTTTCCAGAAGGACAAACATTGCATTATATTTTTGACTGGACTAATTTTGTGGTAGGAACAGTACCTATGCCCTTTAATTACACACCCTCCCCCCCCCCTTTTTTTTTTTTAAGGAAAGAAGTTTGGAAAGTGCCTTTTTGTTTTTTGTGAATTTCCCAGTGGCATTTCCTTAATCTCTGTCCTTGTATGGACAGATTGCAGGGTTCTCCGTGGGTCACAGGAGGACCTCTCAGGGAGATGGAAGTGAGTTAATGGGTACCAAAAAGCCTGGATTCATTGGGGTAGGTGCAGTCCTGCATTGGAGCCTTCTGTGTGGCTGAAGCTCTGAGGTGGCTCTTTGTCTTATAGGGAGCTTTGAAGGATCCTCAGAGACCTCAGACTGAAGTTTTCCCCCTTCAGGCTGTGTGTGTGTGTGTGTGTGTGTGTGTGTGTGTTTTCCTTATAAAGAGTCTGTTCAGGTCACCTTATCCTATAAGCAGCCCTCCTGGGTAAAACTCCCTTTAAATGAACTAGTTCTGCTCTCCTGCTAGTCTGCTTGGCCCACAGGGAAAACTTCCCTTCCTCTTCTTCACCACTGGAGGAAGTACAGTTCACTCCCAGGGCTGTTAGTTCTGCAGCCTTTAACTGATGTAGCCATAGTCCCTTGCGTTTGACATAATTTTAAGCACATGTCAGGTTTTTGGTAATTTCAAAATCTCAGAACACAGGCTAAGATTTCAGATACTTTTTATCTCTCATGTGGCTTGAAGTAAAGGGGAGGCGGTTTGCTCCTTCCCTACGACAGAGTGAAATGACAATTCTTCCTAAGGAAATCCTTACTAAAAGTCTCACTTACCTTTCTACAATACCTTTTCTTGTGTACTCACAAACGCATGATAAACTAAAGAGAGCAGATTTCATAGCATGACCTGCATTGTGTTCTGGCACTTAGGAATTCTGTGTTTGAAGCCTCAGCTGAAATTTATTTTGTTGAAGAAATATGTTTTTCAGGTGGTAGAGTAAACCTGAAATATCTGTCTTCAAAGCTTTTA